CCTTTGTGATGTTCTCCAATTCTGAGTCCTGCTCTTGATGCCGTGTCCATCTGATCTTGGCGGCAATTTTCATGGGTTGGTATTTGGCAGGATTTCATTGTCAGATATGTCAGGGAGGAATGAATAAACAACCAGAGCCCTGGAGATTTGCAGCATCATCAGTGATGTCACTTTGTGTCCCTTGGGTGCTGTGGTTTGTGGGTGACTTGTGAAGACTGGGACTCTGTTTTGTGCTGCTGGATGTCCATCAGTCATTGTGCTGCACCCAGGAATGCTGAGGGAGCTGCTGATGTCCTGGGGAGGTCACTCTGGAAGAGCTTGGAAAGGTCCCAGTGCCTGGCAGCTGTTCCTGATGGATGAGAGAGAGCTCTCGGCCTGGTGTCTCAAATGGGATCACAAGATCCGGTAAACCAGAGGCTGTTCAGGCTGAACCTGTTCCATTTTTATGGTCCAGTTGGATTCCTCAAATTCTAGTTTCAACACACGCGTGCATGTAAAGTGTATTCCTTGCTCTCATTCAGAAATCCAATAACAAACAACAAACGGGGTCCGATCCCTTTGTTCCCAGGCTGCTCTGTGGTGTCGAATCCCTTATTCCGCGTTCAGGCCATAAGATTTCATAATGATTTATGTCCTGTGAATGACAATATTGTGTTCCTGTGAGCAAAACCCAGTAATTGCTACTGATGGTCAGCGTGCTCCGCTTTCCCTCTCTGTCATGATGAGGGTGTGCCTTTAAGGAACTCCACGATTCCATGTCCTTCTCTTGAGACCCTGTCCTTCTGACCTTGAGGGAGGATTTAGGTGTGAGTTATTGGTATGTGAGGGTTGGTGGCATTTGGGAGGGTTTGCTCTGAAGGTGAGTGTCAGGGAGGGCTGAAGAAGCCACCAAAACCTCGGGGAGGTGCGGTGTCATCGGCAAGGTGACCCTGTGGCACGGGTGTGCCGTGGTTTGTGGGTGTGCTGTGAGAGGAGCCCCATTCCCTCCCAGCCCTGTCCGGCTGCTCTGGGATCTGCAGCTGTGCCGGAGCTGTTGCCCCTTCCCTCTCATTCCATGCCTTCCCACCTTGGTCCCACCTGGCTCAGCCTGGCCCTAGACCTGACCTTTCCTGCTGACGGTGCTCTCTGGGTGTCTTGGTGCCCCTCTTGCCTTTAGGGTTTTGGTATCCAGGGCCTTTGGGGTCTTTACTGGGGCTGAGCACAAAGGGCTGAGGCCACTTGTGATGGTCAGAAAGAGGATTTGGCGTTTGCCCAGGGTTGTGGGAGGTGAGCATTGTCTGACCCTGCACAACCAGGCAAATCTGGGTTGTGCCAGTGGCTTGCGAGTTTTTAGTTGAACCAAGGGGGAGAACTGTAAGAATCCTTAAAATCAAAGTTTTAGGCAAGTTACAAAAAGCAGGCCTCAAAGACAGCAGAAATATGATTAAAGACAAGCAGTAAGCATAAGATTTATCAACACAGAAATTATACAAGAAGTAGAAAGGACAAATAGAACAACAGTCAGTGTATTAACACTTGGCTAGAATAACTTCCTGAGTTACAGAAAAGTGTATCTAGTGAGATTTTAGGAAGTTCTAAGCTTAATTATGGATCTCTGTGCATTGTATCTTAAGGTTCACAAGCAGGTATTGTATTTAAAATAAACGAGCATTGTTTTAACCAAAGTAACTTGTGCTTATAGCGGTTGGATAAAATTACTGTCAATATGCTTTTGCTTTGTGTGATTGGTCAAAAAGCTTTTAAATTAAATTATAACATTAAGTTTGTTGTCTGCTGCCTGGGATGCGAGCTGCTGGCATCTTCCCATTGTCACAACCGTGAAATGAGACGGATGCTGGAAAATAAACAGCTCGAGACCCGTCCCGTTCATGATTTGTACATAGTGCCCCAACTGGCAATCCCCAGGAGTTGGATCCTTTTGGCCAACACTGAAAACCTGAGTGGTCCTGGACATCTGCTGGAGCTCAGCAAGGGCATCTGCCGAGGGCTGTTCCTTGGGAGGAACAAGGAAGTCATCCCAGGTAGGAAGGAATATGTGGGTATCAACTGGAACAATTGCTTTCTTTGCCAAAACCCCTCTGGGGTTGTGGATGAGAAGAAGTGGAGCTGGAGGTGTCCCTGTGCCCTTGTGGGAAAAGGAGCCCCAAGGTTCCAGGAATGATATGGAAAAGTGTTGGGATGAGGCGGTGAGAGGTGACAGTCGGTGTGTGCTCAGCACTGGTGAGGTCCCGTGTGAGGTGTTGTGGGCAGTTCGGGGCTCCCAGTGAGACGAGCCCAGGGACACCCGGATACAAATGGGCCTGAAAGATGATTGCCAGATGGGAAACAGGGAGAGCCAGCACTCCCAGGGGACAAGGATGGACATCAGTGTCCACCAGGGTCCTGGACATCAGAGTGTGCAAATCCCTGATGGTGGTGGATGCTGACGAGGGAGCCCGGCTGTCCTCAGCAGTGCACACGTGCAGGGCAAGACAGCAAGAGGACAAGTGAAAAGAGATGGAATTCCATGGGCTAAGAAGCCAAGAATCTTTCATTGTGAGGATGATCAGAGATTGGAAGAGGTGGTGGAGTCTCGATCCTTGGAGATCCAAATCTGCACTGTCCATGGTTCTGGAAATGTTCTCCTGTTGCTCCTGCCTGAGGAGGGCAGTTGAAGCTCTTGCACTCCAGAGCTCCTGCCCAAGAGGTTGATTTTGTTTCTCTCTTTGCTGGGAGGCTTCAGAGGTCCTGGCCAGGAAGAGAGTTTGTCAAGTGTGCACTGGAGTGACTTCTCCACTTTTGTGCCAAGGGGAACATTGATGTGTCAATGTCTTTGGTGTAGCAGTTTCCAAGGTGTGTGACATGTAATGGAAGGGGTTCCCTCCTGTGCATTCTGTGCCAGAATAGGTTTTTAGTTGTTTTGTATATGTAAGGAGAATTGTTCTGTCATGTTTCTCTACCCTCAATGGCCTGTTCTGGTCTAGATTTTGGTGGGTGAAGATGCAAAACCACTGGAATAAAAAAGATCAGGAGATGTCCCAGGTTTGATTCAGGAAAACTTTATTAATGCAAAAGAATGAAAAGTCAGGGGAAAGAAGTGGAAATAATCTGCTGTGAGGTGTGAATAGGTCGACCACCAGCTGAGGTGCTTTGCTGGCAGGAGTTGTGGCCAGAGGCCAGAGGTGGTGGTGTCTGGGGTGTTGCTGAGGGTCCTCAGCAGATGTAGCCACCCCTCCTGCCATAGCAGCCCAGGCCTCCCAGCCCGTAGCCAAACCCACGGCCGTAGCCAAGGCCGTAGCCAAAGCC